AGAGGGACATCATTAAGATATTTTTAACAGGAAATTTGTTTTCATTTTTAAAACAACCAAAATATCCAAGTACTTGCAGAGAAAAGAGGCAATCACTGTTGTTAAATTGAAAAACTTGGGAAATCAAGTATTATTACAAAATAATGGGAACAAAAAGAGTTAGTTGAGGATGATGGAACTTTTATACATTTCTGACTTCAGATAGTTGGGTTAGAGTAGAAAAGGCTTTCCAGTGCCACTGGGGATATCTTGGCTTCTCTTTGTGCTATTTCCTGATTTGACAGCAGTCCTGTTTGAGCAGGGGGGTTGAATTCTTTATTTGAGCTGCAGAAGTCCTATGGGACCATAACTTTCCATGCTGGCTTCCGTGGGAGAAAGTCTTGTTGAGATCACGCTTCAGTAAAAGAGTTGTTGACGATCAGAGTCCTGATCAGAAAAGGCTCTATGAACAGGCATGTTTGCTTTCCACTACCTGCTTCCCCAGCTTTTGTCTCCAATTGCGTGTCTCATACTGAAATAAGTAAAAGAAGTAAGGTGGGCAAGCTGCTTGCTGGAATGGCCACTAAGCATCTGCTAGTGAGCTATCTCCACTTGAGAAGGTCCCTGAAGCACTATAGCCACTGGACCACGTTACCTTTCCCTAATGTCACTGTAAGTGATGTCTCTAATAGAATCATAGAATGATTTGGGTTGGAAGGGACCTTTAGAGGCCATCTCGTCCGACCCCCCTGCAATGAGCAGGCATGCCTTCCACTAGATCAGATTGCTCAGAGCTCCATCCAACCTCGCCTTGACTTTTTCTAGGGATGGGGCCTCCGCTACCTCTCTGGGTAACCTGTTCCAGTGTTTCACCACCCTCATTGTAAAAAAATTTCTGCCCGCTTTGTGTGTCAAGGGATGGGAAGCCAAGGGTTTGAACACAGTTATACACTGTGGGAGTTGGGCAGTTCCTAGACTACAAAACTTTCCTTCAAAATGTGTTTGTAGCAGCGCTGCTGGCCAAGTGGATGTGAGTTTGTATAGTCCCAAGTGCTACGTCCACCTGCTGTAAAGGAAACACAGAATGCTCTGCTACAGAATCTGTCCCCACAGATTTCACCAGTGATGCCTCGGTGTTAGCTTGCTTTTGCAGCATTAGCCAAGTGCCAGTTGCATTGTCCAAGTGTCAGTGCTAACATTTAGAGACCACTTTGTGCATTAAAATTAGTAATATTTGGCCTTTTTAAATTTTCTTTTCAATTTTTCTTTTTTCCCCTCCTGAGGCTAGTAGCTGTGACCATTAATTTTTTTTTTTCAACTGGACTGTTCAAAACTGAACTAACAGTGTAGAGAAATGAGAAGAAGCATTTTGATAGCTGGTTATTTACTGCAGTTGCAGACTAGTGTTTAATAGCAAATATGAAGAATATGCCTGGCTTTATACACTTTTAGGTTTGCTCTTGTAGGAATGTAAGTAGTATAGTAGCCGTACTCTTGCTTTTAAGCATTCTGCTAGGTTCCAGGAAACAAATGAGATGTGTTGGGAAAAGCTGGGGACAAAGCTTTGTAGAATGTTGATTTAGATAGATAGTTGTTTCCATTAGATACAGACGAATCTATGGTCAGGACAAACACTACCAGGTGACTGTAAGTTACATCAATATCCCAGCGTCTGATCTCAGAATCTTTCCCTTTCTTTTTGTTTTTTGAGTTTATGCAAGCTATCGAAAGGTCCTGTGTTGGTTCTTGTAGCTATGTAGGCCTTTGGTTCAAGAAGTAAAAGACATAAATATAGAACTATATACCATTTTGCGTTGAATTTAGGGCTAGTAAGTTGAATGTTTGTTTTGCTAAGAAAACCATTGTGTTTAACTGTGTGAATGTCTTCCCTGGGTTTATGGCCACTGAACTTGAAACCCAACTGGGGATGTCCAGCACTAAGATGAAAATTACTGTTCTGCTGTTGCAGATTCCCAAGTAGATATGTTCTTAAATCTTACGTGTCCTCTTATTCAAAAAGTATATCATAACAGTAAAACTAGGAGTGCATACCAGGTAAAGAACTGGTTCTGTTGAAGTCAGTAATAAATGTTCTCAAAAGGTCAGGATTTTTTTCCAAAACTAACTCATGATACCTCATGTCAGCAATAACAGCAAAACAAACAATGCTTGTGTACTTGTATTTCCTTAATTGTAAAGTATAAAGTGCTTTTGTCCTGCATTTAGGATGTTTCAATACAAATATGATTCTGCTGGTATGTCCACCACTCATTTGAGGCCTTCATTACATTTGTGGGTCTGTTAGTTTTGTTTTCAGAAAGACTCATTTCAGCTACGTTTTGCCTCCCTACTGAAACTCAGAATTAAGTGTCTCAGCTTGTTAGGGTTTACTGTATGCAGCTGATTTAAAATAATAGGCAACATAACAATCTAGGCGAGAAGAGGAGAGAGATGATTATCTTTAGTATATAAACAAACTTGTGTGCTCCTTTATTGCAACAGACGTTTTTGCCAATGTGTATTTTGGACATTATGTTTCTTCTAGTATGTGAACTTGTACGTAAACATTACGTGCATTGAAACAGTATGGGAAATATATAGCTTACCACCTGTTGGATCTGCAGAATAAAACTTTCTATGTTTGCAGTGATGAATATTTTTCAGGTATTTTCATATGCTTTTCAGAATTTAACTTAGCTGTCAGAGTACTCCAAAGATCTAAATATAGCAGACTGTAGCATTTTGAAGTGATAGTTTAGAATGACTTTCCAAATCTCAAAACTGGCACCTGTTAGATCAGAATACAGTGAATTATGCCCACTCCTACTGCATTTCACTATCTGTTTCTGGTTCCATGCATATTAAGGGTGATTCAGTATGCCTTTTGTGCTCGGCAGTCGGATTTCCACAGCTAAGAGGTAAACATAAATAGCATGATTTCAATTGCAAAACATTGATTTCCTCCCAAAGCAGATGTTTTTTATCTAGCTAATGGTAGGATATTTCAAGACAAGATCACTGTTCCTATTTAAATTTAAAAATAAATAGCAAAAAGAAAAGAACACCTTGATATATTTGTATTTTGGTTGTTAAGTGCTGGCTTTTTTGCCTGACAGTCTTTCTTAGCTAAGGTATCTTGGATATCCAAACTGCTTTTATTAAAATTTTCTGTGCTTTTAAAGGCTGAATGGTATAAACAGGTGTTTTGCATGCCTGTAATTTTT